GAGGCTTGGTGTGGTGCTGTAGAATAAGCACTGGACTGTTAACCTCAAGGTCGGCAGTTCAAACCCACCAGTCACTCCTTGGAAACACAGAGTCCCTATAGAAGGACATCATGCTTGGTGAAGTGGGGGGGGGGGGTCAGCAAAAAAGATGAAGACCCTTGAATGAGATGGGCTCAATGGGCTCAAGTTTAACAACAATTGTGAGGACGGTACAGAAACAGGCAGTGTTTTGTTATACTGCGCAAAGGGTTGCGAAGCCGGAAGTGACGCCACAGCACGTAAGAACAACAACGAGAAAGAACTGTCTCTACAGCACTTAATAATAACACAACAATGGAAGTAAAGAATCCCTGGGTGATGGAAGCCAAGGTTGGCTGCCAATGTAAAGGTTGACCACTCACATCTGTCTGGAGAAGACAGACCTGGTGGCCTATTTGGAGGTGAAATCAACTTGACGGCATCTGCTTTGCTTTTTGTTTTGCTTTTCATGGAAGAACCGTGCTGGCAAAAGTACAGATGAATTATGTTGTAGACAAAGCTCTTTGTTATTTAGGAATGAGAGAATCAAATTTGACTTGTGTGAGTTACTTGTTGTTGTTAAGTGTCATCAAGTCGGTTCCTACCCATAGTGACCCTGTACAGGATTTCTGATGAGCAGCTGGTGGGTCTGACCTGCCAACCTTGCGGTTTGCAACCAGTGCTGATCCTATAGCGCCACACCACGCATCTTTGTGAGTTGTTGTTAAGTAAATAATTATCAGCAAATAAGTAAAGTGTTCCTGCAGAGTCATCTTGGTATGGGCACACTTGACCTTACTTCTGCTATGTGAGGGTACTGGTACATTTGGATCACTTACAATATCCCATATCCTGGCACCATCTAAGGTTAGTATGTCACAGAATAGGAAATACAGTACTGATAAGTAATGATGCTAAATGATACGATAGATTTTTAGAGAAAAAAATAGAACTGGGCTGGAATTTTGATTCATGCTAAGCTCCTCAGTTGTTAGTAGAAGATCAGTATTTCTCTTGGCTGAAGAAGAAGATGCTAATATGAGTCTTACTACT